AAGTTTGAGTGCCGCTGGAAGATCCCGTATTCGTCATTGAATGCTGGCAGCTCTGGTTCTCTCTAAAATTCTTATACAGCCCCGATTGATTCTTCCCAGATCTTCATCAAAGGCATTTTAGTTAGAGAGCTTTTCTCGGGCAAACTAAACAGTGTGAAGAATGCAGGGTGCTGTTAAATGGGACAGAGTGGGAGTAGATGGAGAGGAGCAACTATGTTTGCGTTTAAGGACACCTCTATCTACAACGCTTCCAGTGGCCGGCATCAGCCTACAATTGCAGCCGGTATCATCCTGCAATTGCAGTACCTTTTCCTTTGTCACACGTGAAGGCAGGACTTAAAGTGGTGTAAAAATCCATTATTCGCTAAAATGTCGTCCACGACAGCGGAAGGTTGTTTCGAAATGATCTCAGCACTGACGAACTACTAACGCTGAAATTTTTCGAGATCGTCCACCGTCAACATCGCATAATGCACATTCTTTTTGCGCCCTGTTTTATACCTCATCTGATTGCCGCATCTTTCACTTTCCCACGAGGTCGGTGATGTACCGGTAACAAACAAGCCGAACAACATTTTAGTCACTCAGCTGTGATCTAATGCTACTCAACTGTTTTTGCTTTAACTTAGAGGGATCACTGCCAAAAAGTTTTTTCTCTCGTCTACGAGAGAAGTTCTCTTCTACGGACTTTTGATGAAACTAATCTGAAAAGTTTCTGAAAGATGTAAACGCAAATCTGCATCACTATATGTTGAGAACTAAGACGAGATATTGCTTGTGAGGAAGTCAATTTAATGCTGTTTATGTGATTCTGGCTCTGCGACGTTCTCGCATCAGTAGCGCTTATCGTCTGCCAATAATCACCTGCTTATACGAAACAGGCTTTTCATTCTGACCTCTCACTTCTGTTTTTAAACAAATCGAATTTATTTCTCACTCTGCCTTCACACTACCACTTGAGAAGTATTCGGAATTATGTGTCATTTTACCTTCCTTACTAAAAGCTTTAAGCATATGAGTTAAGATATTGTTTGCTGTTAACTGGGCTTATTTCCGCTCCGGGCCAACCAAGCCGCCCATCCCTCCGGGGTCGGCGAAATTGGTACCAGACTTCTCTGGGGAAAAAATCACTCTCTGCAATCCAAATGGGAACGCTTCAGCCCGGCTACTTCAGCGCTCCAGGGAGAATTGCTCGAGCAACATTCTACGGCATTCAAGGTGAAATGAAGATCCTCAAGTAGCAACTGAGGCCACACGTAAAAACTTTGAAGACCTTCTTGGACGATGGATGCGAGGAGATGAATTTAATGGGATCCGCACAGTAGACGTGAAGACGGATTAAATAAAATAAAGTGAAATAAAAAAGTTCGGCTCATTGGCTGATATTCTTGATATTCATGTTTTAGTAACATCGTGCGCACCGCAGACGATCTGATTCCCTGGTCAACTGGCTGGAGGTCTTTGCACCATAGAGTGAGGACAGATGGAAATTCTTCCAATTCGACACGAAGATGCTAATGTAATAACGCTAGCCGTTTCCTTTTGTGTCACTTTTCTGGCTAATTTAATCAATAACACTAGCGTCTCTTAACCTTTTTATTTACTGCCTTTTTCTTTTTAACGGCAGGGTACGTTGCGAAATATAACTAGTATGAAATGCTGAGATATTTGCAAAACTCCGGACCGCAGGTGTATGCAGTGGGGAACGAACACGCGCTGTTGTCCTTACCGGGGAGCAGCGCACTTCACCACTACACCACCCGAGTCCTTCGTCTTGCATGTCTCTCAGCTAGTTCTATCGATCTTTTTACCATCAGCAATCACCCGTCAGCGGGATTGATCTGGAGGGCCCAAATCGGCAACGAACCCAGTTAAGCTGAGGCCGCAGTTATAATCACAGTTTTGACTTACCAGCTAACCCGCTTGTTTGAATTCGAAGCAAACAAGGAAATAAAACACGGTAGAGTTCGTAGATCTGGTAATTGAGTGAAGCAACCATATCATTTGTGCTGGTGTTTTTTTCTTACATGGCTCTCCATATATTTTGCTGATCGTAGGATTTTTTTCTCTTCGGTTGATTTTCTCATCATGAGCGACGTTGAGTGTTGGTCGAAAGTGATTTTACTAAAATTCTAGGATAGCTTTACTAGAGCTTTTCCGGGTCATGGTCGTAGATAGTCACTGGATAGGAGTGAGCTCTTGCCAGATATGTCTGGCTGGTAACGGTCTGCCCAATCTGAAACGGCGAGAGGTGTGGTTGTTTTGGCCTGCTGTAGAAACAGAGACCATACATGTATTACACTATGGCTCTAACCATTGCACTTTCAGCGTCCAATGAAGCAATGGAAAACAGAAGAAAAACAGGTGCAATGAGCAATTGCCTTCTATCTCGCTTGATCGTTCCATTTAAGACTGCAAATGCTGTCGTTGCTAGTTTTCTCCACTGTCGACCTATCATTTTATCTCTGTGCATCCTTGTTCTTAAAAATTTATGTGAACTTTCGCATTGTTATTTCTTCACTGACAGTGACAACGATGAGTTTCTCGTACAGCAATAAAGGGATAAAGGATAAAGCTCTCGGCGTTGACCAATCACTGAGAGATGCTCTATGCATTTGATTTCATGTGCGGGGGGATCGATCCTACATGTATGTTGTAGCGCGCCTCTGACAATTACGCAACACGCGATAAAGAGGACAAGATGTTCTATACTGTCTACATATTTTCTTTAATTCTGGTACCATTTATTTTTTCCTATTCTTAAAACGTTCAGTTTACTTTTCATTCGTTTTTTTTCTTGGTAATGTTTGCTCTCCACACCTATTCTCACAAATCTCATCAATCGCCGCTTTTTTTAACCTATACTTTCCATAATTCTCACGAATTTCATCCTATCCTCATCTCACTTCGGATTCTGTTTTGATTGTCCATTCACGTTTGTCGTGTTTCCGATTACTACACTTTGTTTAAGTGCCTGTACCGCTCAAAAAGCTTCGATTTCCTCACAGATGGGTTGCGAGCCTCTCAGCTACGAGGTAGAGAATGTCTCGTCGTACGTTCTCAGCGTAATGGGAAGTCCTTGTCAGGCGGTGAGTTTCCTGCACAAAAACCGTTTCATTTACCTCCACCAGCTGAATTGCTAGCACATTGCAAGCCTCTTGATTGAGATAGTATGACAGTTCTTTTGTTAGAAAAACCCATTTGTTCACCTTGAAGTTGGTACTTTCTAACAAAGCCATGTGAAAGATAGTCCAAAATTCTTGGGCTAGTGTTTGATTACCTTTGGAACTTAAAACATTTGCTTTTTTACGTTATTTGCTCGAATTTCTTTCTAGAAATGCAAAGCAGCATGCATATCTGGTTGTATTCTATGTTTTAGAAGTAGGCAGCACACTGATTAGATTTGCAGCTCAATATGCGCGAGATCCTGATTGGACCTTACCGTGAGTCAACTGAACCATCATCCCTCTGCGGTCGGAAATAGAAGCCCGACTTCCATCGGAAGAGTTAACTTTAATCGAGGCAAGTTAGCAACTTCTCCTGGTGAAGCTCGAACGTGCTAGCACGATTATCCTAGGATTCCACGGATAAAGGACTCGACCAGTATTCGACCACATGTTGAAAACCAAAAATTCTCAAGCGGCAGCTGAACGTATGTGGAAATCCGAGGATTTTCGTGTATATCGGATATGAACAATCGGTTGAAATGAAGTAAATGCAAGTATAAGCACAGTATTTGTTGTCGAAGGGCGCGTGTAGTGCAGTGGTTGGAGGTGCTACTGCGGCACACACGTGGAATCAGTCCCCGCGCCCATGGCTTACCAAGCCTTCCATCCTTGCGGGGTCGGCAGATTGGTACCACACTTGTTTAGGAGGATAGCAGCACTGGTTCGATACATCGGCAAGCCACCGCGAGTCGTTGTAGAGGCTAGATATGCATTCAATCACCTCCAACGATACTTTATGAAGTCGAATGGATGGCACATCCCTCAGCGATTGATCAACGTCGGGAGCTTTATTCTTTTTTATTTTACGTGATGTCCGGTCATTTAAAACAAAATTTTTCTTTCCGAAGTGAAAGGATCCTTCAGAAAATTCGAATTTCGAATTTATTCGAAGATTTTTTTGATGTTCCGATGATTTAAAATATAGCCCGGTTCTTTAATATGTCTTTGTTTACAGATTTTAATCAATGACGATTTCTGCACAGCTTTTTGAAAAAAATAAGTGGCAAAGTGTGTGATATTCAGTTTTTCGTTATGATGTCTTTTTAAAATGATGTCATTTCGAGTGAAAATCACTGTGACAACGTGAAAAATGAGATGCGGGTAAGACGGAAGGAAAAAACCATTAAGCCGTGTCAAGGCATTCACTTGAAGCTCTCTGATTTTAAGCAGAACTCTCGTTCAGAAAAGGTCATCTCGTCGCTACACAACGTGGCTACAAATCTTAAAAGGCTTATGAAGGGCTTGTTCAGAAAGAAAAGAAACGAACACTTAGACGTGAAATTTTTCTTAGATAGAAAGCATTTTTGACCGCAAATTTCTTCCTGACACGGTTCTCTTGTTAGCCATTCACTCAGTGCATTGCTCAAGGATTACGGTAACGTAAAGTCCCGTTCCCCGTTATTTTGAAAATATGCGGAAACTTGAAGAAAAAGACATTTATTCATGGATTGCCAACGCTTCGAAAATGCAACAGAAAGCGTAGCTTTTTCTAATCTCTATCAGATTGATTCGGTTTCCCCTCTACATTGCTGTTTTGTTCTTCTTTTCGATTTTTTTTCTGGGGGAGATGGTATTGCATGGACGTGCTCGGACAGATTCGTATAATATCAAGCCAACTTTTTCAGGATGTTGACGCGAGTTCCGCACTTGAGTTTCCCTTTTGTTTTTCAGAAAGCGATTGTGATTCCGACAGTGGTCAGCTACTTGATCATTTTAATTGTGGGCACCATCGGCAACATCTGCACGTGTGTGGTGATCATTCATATCAAATCCATGCACACCCACACAAACTTTTACCTCCTCAGTTTGGCGTTTTCCGATCTCGTCGTCTTGACATTCGGTACGTTTCTGCACTTTTTTCCTTTTAATCTGTTTTTTGTTTTCAGCAGAGCTCACAGTAAACTAAGGACAGATTAACAACTTTTTTCTCTTCTGTTCCTTCATCATTTACTCATCGCTCCTGTCTATATGGTTTTCTCACTCCTTCTTTCCACAATCACTGCCACTGCTTTTGGTGTCTTTTTTTCTACGCTCTCTTCCCTTCCTATTATACCTACTTCTCTATTTAGTACCTTCTCTCTTATTATTCTTCATACTTGTTCTGATCCCAGCTTCTTCTAGGTACGATAGACGTTTTTTTCATTTTATAGGTCTTCCGATGGAATTGTATGGAGCGTTAGATATCGCTTATCCGTATCAATTCCCCGAGTGGGTTTGTAAGGGCCGTGCTTACCTGACTGAATTTACCAGCTACGCGTCGATTCTCGTCATCTGCTCATTCACAGTTGAACGCTGGCTTGCCATCTGGTAACCCTCTTATTTGTTTACCAAAATCTCTTAAATGTAAGGAATTAGAAGAAGAAAAGATAATGCTTATCACTTTACGAGAACCGTCGTCGCTAAATTCATCTATCATTGGCGCTGTGACGATAACTGTAAAATTGGTTTATCCAACAACTGGAAGGTCACTAGATTCAGTTCTGATGGGCCCATTTATGACACTAAGACAAATCGATTATCCTAACTGTTCTCTCGTGAAGAGCAGCCGGCCTGAATGAAGCTGGCGGCGGATTTTCAATCATGCGTTCATAAGTCGAGATTTACCTCATTATCTCATTCTCCCTGGCTGAGCAAGTCCCAATATGAGTGCATTCCTTGTTCGCTTGCTCTCGATGCAAATTGACTGCAAAATTATTTTACATTTCTAGACTAGGAATTTTTTTCTATGTTCGAATGCAAAAATAGTAATTGTGTTATGATGGAAAATAAGGAAACAAACTGCTTAGTTTTCCGAGGAACGCAGGCTATCATGACAGAAGCTAGTGTCGTGGTCTTTCAACCGTTTCTAACCGTTCTATGTCTTCAAGTGTTTTGGTTGTTAGTATGACTCCTGAACTTTCTCGAAATATTTGCTTTCCATGAAAAGGGATGTGTGAAGTATATATTGATATAAACCACAATGTGGAGATGCTTGCAAAGCTCTGGACCGCTGGTGTCTGCGGTGGGGTCCGTGCACGCTATTTCTCTTTCTGGGGGCTAATGCGTTCACCACCACAACCTGGAGAGCACAGATCGGCATGATCCCGTTTAGTTGAAGCGGTGGTATAAATTATAATCACGATTACATATATATTTGCTTTATTGCTCTATCAGAAAAAGATGCTACTGATTGAACAGTTCGGAGTGGTATAAATTTCTTTCTTGTCGCCGCTATGATTAATTCTTTTGCAAATGAAAGAGGTACTAGTTAATGAAAAATCGAAGTCGCTTTCCGCACTCGGGATACACGAGAAATAATGGTCTAAATTTGTTATCGACACTAGTCTTTTGAAGAGAATACAATAATGTCTGTAATGACCGTGACAAAAAACTGCACGAAACACAAAAATTTAAGTGATGAACACACAGAAGATCGTGGAAAGTCGCAGAAGCAGCTACGTGCTGACCGACAGTACATGCTGCAGCAGCTGCCTAAAGCCAAAAGTACACTACTACGTCGCCTTTGTTGTTATAAGCATGCAAACGTATACTGTAGAGCATATTTTTTACACGACTTCAAAACATAAAATTATGAAGCTATGGGGGTGATCAAGCCCTGAGTGGTACGACATTCATCCAACTTCAACAAGCAACTTCAGATGTAACCGAATGCATATCTGCACTGTATATTAACTTATAGAGGCCTACAAACGCATCAAGTCGGTGCCGCTATTTTCCTAGATAAGTCTGATCTCGATTTGCCGACCCTAGAGGGATGAAAGGCTTTGAAAGCCTGAGGTGAGGAATTAAATCAACGGCATGGGTATCGGGGGGCACCTTTTAGCACTCCGTTATGCAATTTCAATAGGAAGCGAAATTCCGATTTGTTAAAGAGGCTATTCTAACCACATGGATCAAAATTTTATGAAGGATTGTCTGAAGACGACCCATGCATCCTACATTATTCAAAGTTTCGTATAGCAGAGAGATAGTATAGTTAGCATATACTATAACATACGGGGATGAAGTAACATTTAGTTTTCCTGCTGATGAGTGATTGCTGTGGCAAAGTTCGATAGAACTAGCTGAGAGACAGGCGAAACGAAGGACCCACATGGTGTGGTGGTGAAGTGCGCTACTCCCCGGAAAGGACAAGAGTGCGTTCGTTCCCCACCGCAGACACCTGCGGTCCAGAGTTTTGCAAATATCTCAGCAACGTTGTTGTAGTGAATAATAAGTTAAAATTGTAACATTTAGAAGAGAAAAAGGAAACTGAGAGGAACCAACAATCATGTAAGTGTACTTTACCGCTGCACTTTACCCAAGTGAATGGAATGAAAATATTTGAAAAGCAACGTGTGCTCATATCAGTTGTAACTCTCTTTAATCAATCTATAACTCGAGCATGCGATAACAAATAAATGAGCAAAGTTACTGGTCTTTCTTAAGGACTAAAAAATGTCTATATCGTTTGTGGCGAGAAGGTGGTCATGGTAGCCCGCTGGGTTCTTTAGCAACATTGATTTACTCATATATTTATTTATGTGATCTTATAAACTGATCTTCTTAAGCTGACGCGAGGTTGGTACAGATCTTCGTTGTCGTTGTCGTTGTTTTTGATGTTGCTAGTCGATGGCTGACGTTTCGGCGACTTCGCCTTCCTCAGAGCCTCGACGTATTTAATATTAGAATATTTTTATTATTGGGTGGAAAAAGGTTAAAGTGGTAATGAACAGTAAACTTTCAAATAGACGGCATATTGAACAGAAAGGTCACTCACCGTGATGTTACGTGCGGGACTGGCCCACACGTAGCTCACGCGAGCAAGACACGTTCCGGGGTCAAAATATCATTTTGAAACAGGGCGCCAGGTCACGCGTGATAGTGAGGCATTCGTCCTTCCGGTTCATCTTTGGATTTTTGGAATTTATACAAAACGCCTCAAGAGTTTTGCGCGTTGATGTTTTTGATTCCTGCGCTAGGACCACTTTTTCTTATGTCTCTTATTTCTTATTTCTTGTGAAAATTATATAACGATTGTTGACATCCCACCCAATACCCTACGCCGCCAGTTAGTTCGAAACCGTCTCTATGATCGTTTGTGCAGCTCAGAAACTGTATGATCTGTCCTAACGGGAGAGACGGGGATTGCATGAGTTTAGGTATAATATACTTGATTTCATGTAACACATGCGGCGAGGAATATATTGGGGAAACGGGTAGACCACTTTGTGTCCTCATAAAAGAACATCTAGATGGAAAAGCTAGAATCCGTCTAAACACTCCTCTAGGTACGCATAGGGCACAAAAGCACAACGGCGATGATTTTGAAGTGAAAGTGCGGATCCTAGCGCAGGAATCAAAAACATCAACGCGCAAAACTCTTGAGGCGTTTTGCATAAATTTCAAAAATCCAGAGATGAACCGGAAGGACGAATGCCTCACTAACACGCGTGACCTGACCTGGCGCCCTGTTTCAAAATGATATTTTGACCCCGGAACGTGTCTTGCTCGCGTGAGCTACGTGTGGGCCAGTCCCCCACGTAACATCATGGTGAGTGACCTTTCTGTTCAATATGGCGTCTATTTGAAAGTTTGATCTTCATTAATACTTTAACCTTTTTTTCCACCGAATAATAAAAAGTATTCTAACATAAAGTACGTCCAGGCTCTGAGGAAGGCGAGGTCGCCGAAACGTCAGCCATCGTTCAATAACATCAAAAACAACGACAACGACAACGAAGATCTGTACCAACCTCGCGTCAGCTTAAGAAGATCAGTTTATAAGATCACATAAATAAATATAACAACTATCTATGCCGACGTTTTTAGAAAGTCGGTCTTTCGAGTGATTTACTCATAGCTGGAATTCTGGATGAGAATGTCGAAGATTATCCTAGATTGGGTGAAATTGCAACATAATCAAACTCGCATTAAATTCAGCTCGTATAGAAAGTCGCGATGCTCATGATAAACCATTAGGATAAATATCTATGAGATAGGCAGGTAGGTTCAGCGACCACGGCCGTTATAGTAGCTGTTACCTTGGTGTTCATTGTGGTATATGAGCCTCATTAAATCGTCAATTAGGCATTTTTGATCAAGGAATTTTTTTGATTGTCTGAATAGTCACCATATTCTTCATTTATTTAAGCTATCCGATCCGTTCCAAATCTGTGCCGAAAATATCACGAGCTTATCTGACAATATTTGTGGTGTGGATAGTCTCGTCAGTATCGGCTATACCGATTGGATACCTCGTGAAAATCAATCGATTGCCTTTGCCTGAATGGGCCATAGGTCAGAATTGGACCCACAAGGTAAGGACATCATCAAGTTGAGAACATAAGATCAAGCAAAGCCGCAATTTTTGAGTTCTCATGCACCAAAAATACACAAAAACTGTTCTCAGCATTTCATAACTCACAGGTTGACAATTAATCACAGAGATCGATGAGACTTCTATGGCGGTGTCGTAATATATTGTATATTCTACCTAAGAAAAACTACTGCATGTAGAAAGGCTAGGCATTAATCACTATAGGATTTCCATATAGTGTGTCTTATTTCCAACTACTTTTCTCATGGCCTTCTACTAAATTTTTAAATCATATGACACCTTTCCTCCTACTGATCGTCGAATGACAAGAGCGGGTACCACTGAATTTTCCATTTCTTCCTGTCGCATGCAAAAGTGGCCCAATGGGCGCTGCTAGCCCTAGGGACTCGTTGAGCACCGTGCCATTCATATGTGGTTTTCGAGAGAAACTTCAACCATCGGGTCGGTGGTCTTCCTACCTTGTGTTTCATATCCAGAGGAATCCAGTCGAGCAACGGCTGCTGTCCATCGGTTATCGTTGATACACATTACGTGTCTCGCCCACGTTATCTCCAGCAGTTTGGCGTACAGGATGGCGTCTTTGATCTCTGATCATTGA